TTTTGAATGGGAGTCACATGCATGGCGCACTCAGCTAGATTTGAAAGACCTTTCCCGGTTTAATAGCAGCTGTGCGGCGAGACAGACTCGAACGGAGTGAGAATCTGTTAGAATCCAGAAGTATATATATTCGTTGTAATAAGTAAGGACTAAGTTGGTGTAAGCCGCAAACGTTCACTTTTTTTGATTTTCGCAAGTGATTGCAAGGGAATGGCTAGTTTTTGAAATATCGATTAGACCGTGTAGGTGGAAGATTAGAACTGCTGATTGATCCTATCCGTTAAGTGTATTCTCTTCATTTATCATGTCTATCATCACACTTTCGCCGATTTTAATGATTTCGGATGGATGTGTGCAATTTGTCGTGAGGTGACGTTTCCGTTTCCGACATGTCTATCCCTCATCATTTGCTGCAGTATCTAGGCGTTTGATGTTTGCAGCACTTCTCAAGTACCACTTCAAACGGCGCTGATGCAGAAGATTATCCAAACGGACAGCGTTTATCCTCTCAGGTCTCTGGGGATAATCTCGTTACTTGACGATTACTTACTTCAATTATAGAAAAGCCCTTTTGCGAAGAAAATTTTTTTGGAAAATCCCCAATCAGTTGAAAGTCGTACAGTCGATGAAATGCTCTCTTGGAATTGCAAAAAGGCTTACTCAGGCCGTTGTTGCTTCTGGAGTCGTAAAATATGTTCACGATAAAAGCCTACGTCCATTTTACGGATTTCTTTCGTGGAATGGCTACAGAACTTCTTATCCGTGGCATATGTCAGCTGGTCACCCCACTTAAACCGAGATTTATAAACAGGTGTACGAAGCCATTTGCTATAAGGATTTAACGATTCGTACCAGTCTTTTTCTGCTTGGAATTAGATGGAGGGTTCTTGGAATTAGAAGAAGGAAGGTTCTCCTTAGTGTTTCGGGGAAGGGACAATCCACAAATTGGCGAAGATCAGATAAATGAATATAAGGTGATGTTGCTTGCTGATTTGCCTTGTTTTGGGTGCGCCACGCGCTTGACCTTCGTTCAGGAATTCAGACGCAGTTGAATGCGTTTGCCGCATGCAAGAGCTTTAGTTACAATAAAAGTTCAAAGTTTTTGGCGTTAATCAATCCCGTCTGAGGAGTGCGTCCCCGCACCCGACTTCCATTCAGAATCGTAGCGGCGTAATGAGTGCGTACATGGCCTATACAATGACTTGCGGTGGCCAGCCGATGTACAAGTCAGTGCTTCTATCCTCCCAGACGAGTCTGGTACCAATTCACCGACCCCGCAGGGATAGAAGGCTTGATTGGCCTAGGCGGGCATCGATCCGGGATTCAAACCCCTGAATGTGCGTGTGAGATAGTGCGCCACCTATGACACGACACCACCTCCGCCCTAGCTTTAGTTAACCTATAAACAAATGTTTTTATAATCCCAGAGAAGTTTCTAGCTGTCAAAGGAATGTCCACCTGTGTTCAAAGCAAATGTGCTTTTAGGGACAATACAGTCATCTTGTTATGTCTCTTCGACCACCAGGGCTACTATCTTATCAGTCGAATCCTGGGTCTAATGAAACCCTGCTCAACGAAGCGTTCATGTTCATTGGCGCCGGTTGATTGGTACCAGACTCGTCTGTGAGAGAAAAACGTCAAATTGAACATTGACTGGCTTTCGTAAACCATTGTTGGGGCAGAACACGCATTAAATCCGCTTCTATGATTATGAATGGAAAAAGAATTCGGGACGTTCGTCGAAAAAGAAGTGGTCAATGCCAAGGAAGTCTTTCCTCCCTCTTTTTTCGACTTAATCCTTAAAGAGGTCTGGGAATATTGGATGGTCGGTTATAAAGATGGAAATAGTGTGGTGGTCCGTTTCTCGCGTCCTGATAAGGTTCAGAGTAGGAGTACTCTGGTCAAGGAGAATTCTTGATTTTGGTCACTTTTTGGGCAGAACACCCTAAAAAGGCCATCGAGAATGTTTCCGTCGTGCGAGGGATCTTCTAGGGATCCCTAATAGTGGATCATTAACGTGTAACACACAATTTGACTATCAGTTCAAACTTCATTCAGATCTAAGAACCCTTAGCCCTCCCCTGCCCTCATTCCTTACAATTAGTAACCAAGGAACAGTGGAACTCAGAGAGCGTCTTGTGATCGGTTTGGGAACGTACATTTCAATGAAATGCCGATTAAGCAGGTCCTGCGGTTAACTCCCTTCTTGGGACAATTGAACAACTCCCTGTGGTTCTTTCTCAGATGCGTTCAAGCTCAAAGTAAATAAATGAAATAATAAATGCCAGTACTACTCAAGAAACGATTAACAGAGCATGGCGCATTCTCTCGGAATTCTGTCATTACGTATTCCCAATTATAGGAGTCCGTTAGCTACAGTAACAATTAAAAGATCGTCGTCGAGGTGTCTTTAGAGAACCAAGGCAGCTATTCCAAACGTCGTGGAAGAACAACTGCATGTTCTAGGGAGGCTATAGATGAACCTGAACATAATTGTTTCTGTAAAGTAATGGAGGCGCAGTTGGCCAACTTCTCAATTGTTGAGGGACATTCTTCAGCATGGATTAGCGTAAATCTGAGAGCCAGCATGTTCCACATCCTTTTGGATGGTATCCAATCAAGCTTACCCATTTTATGGGCGGCTGCGTCCTCTCTGAGATTCTTCAACATCTGTTATTCGAAGGTTGAACCACCTATACCTATTAGTTCTTCTGAGTCCCCAAAAAACCTTCAGTTTCAAGAGCGTTTCCGAGAGACACCGAATATTTCATCTCCTACCCCTTATTGGTTAATGGGTGTTTTAACACCTTTCCCACTTTGATCGTCATCGCGACATCTTTGGGAGTTTTGTCAGCGCATTGGAAGTCATCAAAGAACGTATAAACCAGTTTGAATAACTGCCAGAACCTGTTTGTGCTCTTCACGAGGCTGATCAGAAGTTTTTCTGCAACTGCAACGTTCCTTCCAACTGCGTTCATAGCACTTTCAGTCTATCTTTCCCTTCTCACCATCAGTTCTCACAAATCAATTTTTTTCTCGTTCAATAACTTTAGGGGTGGGTTGCTAAATGGCAGTGGGGGACACCTGCATCCACATCCTATACGTCAATAGCTCAACTTTGTCGTTCTGCTCCTTTACAAGCTCATTCACCTTGTCTCGGAGAAGCCAGCGATAAGATATGTGTGACTATAGAGTTGAGAATCCACAGGGTGGGTGCCATATTGGTAGGAGGGGAGCAATAGAAAAAGAAAGTCTGAAATGGAATTTTCCTTTTTTGGAACCCTCCTTTTTAGCACTGCGCGATGGGACCAGTTAAGAGGACCGGCCTATCGGAGCCTATCGTGGAGACAGTATTTAGTGATGTTTGATTGGCAACTTTGGAGCCTTTTTTATAACTCAAACAAAGCCTGACTAACTGAATGAAACTTTGATCACAAAGGCACACTTCAGGGGAGGCCCGCTGGCTTGACTCCAGTCATCCTTGGACATTATTTCTGTGAGAAGGCATATACAAGCTGCAAATGCTCATTAGCTTGTTTGACCCGCCCTTTAGTAGGCGTTCCCGACAGCACTGCACGTTTTTGACGAACTTTTGTCTTACAGCGCTTACAGCGTATTCTTTGAATCGCTCCTGGTAGTAACATAACGCATCTACCACGGCGAGAGTTCCATTCCTATAGGCGCTGTACATAACCATTTTTATCCCCATATAGGTTACTACCAGGAGCTCTGATGGTAAGAAATGAGTTGGGTCAAATAAACCCAGTTCTTCGCTCAATTCCAAAAACAAATGGCGATTCTACTTTTTGTATGATTTTTGAGTAATCGCAGAAGATAGGTCAGATACGCATATGAATGTCTTTCGAATGAAAAGCGTAAACCGGACGCGTTCCAAAGCAATTAATCATATGCGATCCTCATTCCTTCTGGAATGTCAACTAGCGGGATAATCCTGGGAGAGGCCTTTCACATTTACGACTGACGTCGCTCTGAGTGAGACTTTTTTCAAAGAAAGTTTTAAACATTGATTACCGTGATGGTATGGGTGTGGCATTCCCGTTCAGGCCCGTCACGGTGCTGATCATCATTCATCACCTTCAAATTCCTATACTGTGCTCTCTTCAGTCATTTCCCATGATTCAGCCTTCTCGAATAGCTTCGTCCATGTATTTGGCCTAACTTCTGCTCTAAGAAAATATCAGGGAAGACCTTTAACCGCTGCAATGACACCCAATTTTCTCAGTAATGCTGATTTTTCTTTATCCCATATCTACCCTCTACCAGATGATCTTTTCTCTAGATCGCATTATGAAATTTCGGAACTATCTTACTTATTATTGCTACTCATTACTATTATCTTCTCTTTATTTATTATCGTTCCTTATTATGCAGATTCGATCGACATAAAAATGCCACAGATTAATCCATAATTCATCATTTATTCTTCTAAAGAGAACCAGAAGGCATGGCGCATTCGCACTGGCCTGAACAACTCCGAGAATATCCTTTCTGTCTTTCATAGCGGTATTACTTCTTCGAAATTCTAGTTGTATGTAGGAAGGAACTGTTTGCCCATGAATTAACAAATTCGCAGAGTTCTCCTCCTTGTAGCAGGCTCTGAATTACTTCCTTTTTTCCGAAACTCTCCAAGCAGATATAATATTTGCTCCGCAAAAATACATTTGTCAAAAGAAAAATCACTAGAAATTGTTGCATCATTGCTCTATGTGCTGTTAGATTAACAGAATTAATATTTTTAATTCAATACTCGAATTGAAATCCAAATCGTCGGTATAACCGCGACATTGTCATTTGAGAGATCTTTTGCTGTATGTTCATGCTATAGTAGATTGCTAGAACCTGGTTTCAAAGCGCATATTCCCCTTGAAACCTGTTGATAATATAGAAGTAACGCGGTTAAGTATGCTATTCTGTACAGTAATTGTGTTTTATTTCCGAATACTTGACGTTTATTCATTCGGTTTCAGGTTGGCGGAGAGATGCCAGTCGGTGAATGTGCTGTGCTACGAGATCGGCCAGCATTACGACTTGATTCTCGTCTTGTATGTAAATATGAAATTCTATCTGTCATAGGGAAAGGCAGCTTCTCACAGGTTTGTTCTACACTTTGGATATTTCGTTTATAATGTTTTTCTGGGACGTAAGTGGTGTAGTGGCATAAGGCGCACTATCACAGATTCATAGCAGGATGATCTAACCTCGGATGGATCCCCTCACGCCAATCAAGGCCTCCCTTTCCCGGATCGATTAGTTGGTACCGGACTAGTCTGGGAGAATAAAGCATCGGCTTGTGCATCAGTTGACTACCGCAATTCATTGTATGGGCAAAATACGCATTCAAAAGTGCACTACGATCCCGAGTGGAAGTCAGATGCGGTGGCGCATCCTAAAATGAGACTGGTTAAGACCAAAGGCGTCCCCTTCATTATTATTTGGTGTTTTTTCCCTAAAACCTCATTGTCACCTTAATAATTTCCCACTGTGATACCAATGTTTAAGGAATAGCCCGGACCAATCTGCTAGAAATTTCAGGTAATGCGGGTGCAGCATCGAATCTCTCGGAAGTACTTTGCCGTAAAGCTCGTCTCTTCTGATTGTGGTTCAGTAAATAACGAGCTCAGCATACTCAGTCGTGTTTCACATCCGTTCGTCATACGTTTAGAAGAGGTACGTCTTCCACCAATTACTTTTCTCAGAAGTGTTTTACTCTATTCCCAAGACACTGTTCAAATGTAGTACTTCATTATGAAAAAACTCGTCTTTACTGGGAAGAAAATGAGAATGAAACATCTTCCGCGGTGATCGCCCCTGTGTAGGAATGCGCCACGCCTTCGCCTACCAATAAAAATCATGATCTTTCTTTAAAAGCATATTCGACTCATACACTGTTCTGTAAAGTATTACGCTGCAATACGGTGTACCCGACTTTTTACATTTTTTCTGATATTTTTGAAAATTGTTCCACTTTTCTGAGACTCCTAAGGTATACTCCTTGTAATGACTCTGTTAGTAGGCTTATACAATATCTTATGTTTAGGTGTTCAAATCGTCCTCCAAGCTGTTCATTGTTATGGAAATGGCTAGTGGAGGCGAGATGTATGAACGCGTGGTATCCAAAGGCAGGTGAGGGGATTTCCTATACGTTTGTAAAGGTTTATTCACCAAAGTAGTTCCAAAAGAGCAACTATTTTTGCAGATATTCCGAGTCCGAAGCGCGACAAGCGCTGAAAATGCTGCTGAATGGCCTTGCATACCTTCATTCATTACGAATCACTCACCGTGATTTGAAACCGGAAAATTTACTCTACAGTGATACACGGCCAGACGCAAGGTGACTTTGGAACTCTTTTTTCGTTCATTTTTTCTTCTGGAACTTCTCCCAGTTTGAATTGTTGTAATATTCCTCAATTCGGTAATGGTGTCAACCGTTTCAAAGCAAATCTTGAACAAATTGAAATAGTTCCTAGATGAATAATTCGCCTTCTTGTTTTTGATAATTGAAAAAACCATATTTTTTTTTATCGGCACCAATGTTTGGTTCAGAACAGTTCTTATGCCTTTGGTATTCGAACTGAGATTATTTCAGTGGTAGAAGGGAATCGAAGCCGTTTCATCGGAGATTTTTGGTTTTAGAAAAACTAAAAAACTTTAACAAAATGAGTTATTTGTTCCGACAAAAATCCATGAAAAAAAAATGACCCAGCGCGCTGCTGAAACAACTGGAACACTTACTCAACTACTCTTTTTTTCACAAACACATTCTTCTCCGCCGTATTTGGGATCCTTCCGAATCCCTAATACGAGTGCTCTGAAATCCAGTTCCACAACGGGCTTAAAAATAGGTCTTACTGCCGAAATTTTGTTGGAGTAAAATTTTATTTGATCTGAAAGTTCCGAGAAAAGGCAACTTTAAGCGCGGTTTCTTCGAACGAAAGGGTAATTCTCGAGAGGATGTTATGGGATGCAGACAGAAACCTGCCTGTAATCACAGAGGAAGTCAGTAAGGCTTCCTTTCCTGTTCCTTTTGAACTCCTTTTGAGGGGAACATCTAAAGCTCGGTATGGATAGGTTGGATATGTCAATAAACTATCTCCAAAGGTGCCGGAAAATGCGATATGCATAAGTTCTACTTTCATAATGGTTTTGCCAATTTTTCAGGTTATTAATAACGGACTTTGGCCTGGCACACCAGGCCACTCGACCGAATGAAACCATGACAGAAACATGCGGCACACCAGAATACATAGCACCTGAACTGCTTCTGCGGGTACCGTACACCGAAAAGGTTTGCGTGAGGCTTTTTTTGCTTGTTTGACTACGCTAGATATCGTCATGTACCCTGGAGTTAGGCAATGGTTATGGCTAAAGGGCTAGATGTGTCACATTGCTTGACCGAGCGCCGAATAGGATCTCATTCCTTTTTAAGGATGTAATAGCTGTCACCGAACTTGTCTAGGAGGCAGGAATGTGGGCATGGGCTTGACTTAGTTTCCGGAGGTGTACATATACTAGCTCGATAAATTCTTTTTTCCTCATGATGTTCTGGAATATTTTCATTCTTTTAAACTTTTAACTGTTTAGGTGGACATGTGGGCTGTAGGTGTGATCGCATACATTCTGATGTCTGGCATTATGCCATTTGATGATGATTGTCGTTCTCGGCTCTATACACATATCATCACTGCCAATTATGTTTATTATCCCCAGGTAAGCACCTTTGAGTCCGCCGGTTCTGGACGGAAGTGTAACCGCGAAATGGTCAATTTTACCCTGAATGGTCGTTGTTTCAGTTCTGGTCCGGATCAGAATCGGCCAAACAGTTTGTTGACTGTCTTCTGGAGACGAATGCAGCCGAACGATTAAGTGCCGTCGAAGCCTCCCGTCATGAGTGGATGACTGGAGAGCGTGTTGTTCCAGTGATGAGCACCCGAACGTCACGACCTGCTTCTGAGTACAATACCATGCAGAGGGTAAGTTTTTGAGGCTTTATTTCCTCATTTAGTATTCTCCTTTGGCTGAATATTATCCGCAGGCTCTTTTTGAAGGATTCTTGGAAAGGTCTGCCTAAAAAGTGACGTCTCAGTCCAAATACAAAATTTTGTTCATACACACGTATAATCTCTCGGTATCCACCGAGCGGATGTATGGCGCAACCCATGCACGTCTCTGGTAGAAAATCGATCAATATCAAGAAATCCTTTAATGTTAATGGGACATAAAATGAACAAAATGAATTAAACTTCTCAAGTAATTAGTCAAAAAAGCGTTGTTACAGCTATCATTGATCGCCCATAGGGTGAGCCATGCTCTGTGCGCAGCATCAATAGAAGTACGTTGAGGAATTTTTGTGCCTCGAAAGGCTTTAGGCCTTTTGGTTTTCTTCTTTTGAACCACCGCAAAGGGATGACTAATCAAAGCCTCAGGAACTTTTGTGAAATTCTTTCTTAGATATTTCTAGCCCCTATGGAAAATTATAATCCACATGTCAGATCTTGCCAGAAAAAGCAAAACCTCTGCCCATAGCGGTCTCCATTGATATTTTTGATGTTTTTAATTGGGCTTCAAGATTTATAAGAACCTTGGCAGCTGTTGCTTCGAAAAATAGCCCTTTCCCGAAACCTTTTTCAGGATGGAATTTCGGTAGACAGTTGATAAAATTAATATCAATCTCCAAGGCCCGATCAAAAAACAGCGAAAGATTTTTGACGTTGATCAGTTCCAGTTCTATCACCGAATCCAACCCAATGTGACTGATTTCAGACGAAATCGACTCGATCAATTCGTTCGGTGACCCGATCGGACCATGGGCATCGTGTAGATCCACGTGAAGTCGACCAGTTGGCCAACGACCTTAAACGGGCTGCCCAGAGCACGAAAAACTACGGTGTTTTCTAGCGTCGCCTTCATCGAGCCAAGTGCCATTCGGACTAGTTCTTACTACTTACTATTCGCTGCTGTCATCGACCACCACTCCCACCCTCTGCCACTTCATCGCAGAAATCTCCGAGGGAAAAACGAGGGAGAAAACGGAGGTCGCCAGCATCAAGCGCCCAGTCATATTACGGGATTTTCTTTTCTTTTATGTCTATCGAGCCTCGAATGAATTCATCAGGGATCCATGATGTAGTATAGACTGACAATCAGACACGACTTATTTTAACTGCCGGGATAAGTAAGCTGTCGACATTGTCGTTCCAGAACGAGATTTTGATCGATTAATAATAAGTTGTTCGATCGATTGTTCGATAATCAATTGTTGTTATATTGATTTCTGTCTTTATCGGAAGCTTTTTGTACATATTAGGTGTGAGTCAGTAGAGTATAACTTCGTTGTACGTCGTTTCCGTGTGTGTGTGCCACATTGTCTAGTCTTTTTTCGAATATAAAACTTTACTGTATTTGAATTGTATTATTTTTCGATGAATTTTAATTTCCTGCGTATTTCTTTACCATTTTAATCTTTGTTGTATTGCAAATTGCACTGCGAGAGGTCCCAGCAACGAGAGCAGTATTCTTGTGTGAACCTCGTCGTATTTCGATTCCGGGCTGACGGAAGGGAATAAGGCCTGGTAGGATATTCTACCATTATTGAGTCACCTCAAAGTGATCTCCTCCATGGAAGACACGAAATGGCCTACAGAGATTTACTTGCTTGAACCCATCCTCCACCAGGATTTAGCTCCGACTAATATTTACAACCCATTGCATTCTTTGAATGAGTACAAGAATAAAAAGGAAAGTAGTTAGCGTCAGTCAGTTACGTTTGTGGAATGCGCCATACAGTCGATTCCCGTCAGGAATCACAATAGAGTTTTGAAAACCTATGTGACGTGCACAATAACTTGCGTTGGCCAAACGATGTACAAGTCAGTGACGTTAATCCACGTCGGAGAACTAGAAGCCTAGGTAGGTCTAAGCAGGTCTCAGTGCGGGATCCGATTCTTGGACCATGCTGTGATAGTGTGCGACATAGCCCTCTAATAAGTATATCCCTCAGAAAGCTTACCATTAGTCACACCGAACTCAGGTGTTGAATACGATGAATATGATTGAAGCAGACTTTGTCTCACGTTTTCTAGTTCAGATTTCATTGTAGTATGCCATACTGCAAAAATCTTGTTAAAGGTCCAGATGGCGTAATATTTACAAGTTACGGTATTTTGCTTTAAGTCACTACTCTAGCAAAGTAAATAAGTAAACTTTCCCTGTGAGAGGGAAAAGAAACTATCTACTTGTAGTTCCGTAGTAGACGGTAGGTGTTTACAAGATTTCAGTTCAGACGCCCTATTCCTGGACGTTTGGATCCTGAACTTATCGAATTATAATTTTTGGGTTCCCTAAAAAAGAAACATCTTTGAAGAGCTTCAATGAGTGACTATTCAGAGTTCGTAAACGTTAAGTGAACAAGAAAAATTGAAATTCTCTGAAGTTTGGTTTGAAGACCAGTTCAGTGTTTTTAGACTGCGGGTATCATACCAACAGAACTACGAAAGGAGCCTCTGGGAGATGTAGGGGTATATACAAAATAATTCGAACAAGACCTCAGAGTTCACATTATCTGACTGGTCACTGAGACCCCCTCCTAATCATTTCATAGATATGATTCCCTCCGTCAAAAACCTAGGTGAACAAATGCTTTCTCCCCAGGAGCGAACGTTCATGACACCCCAGTATAGTACAGAAATATGCACTGTCTTACATAAATGTGGTCTATGGGAAAGCTGGGCCTTCGGGCTCCAAAAAGTCGACCGTTTTTGCGCGTAAAATCAATTCCCGTCTTTAAGTTCTCAGGTAGATTTGCGCTCATTTGGGTGGCCTGCAAAGTAAAAGCAATCCGAAAAGAAAACAGCGGTTCTTGTGGCGCAGCAGTATAGTGTACCTTGTCCTGCACTAGCTATGAGATCGAGTCTTACGAAAGAAGATGAAAAATAAATGGAGGAAAGACACATTACAAATCCCTACAGATGGAGGTGCGGACGCGGGAGCGTATCCAATTTCGTATGGATTCAAAATGCATGGCCTACCCGCTGAGACTAAACAGCACCACCCTCTATGCTGTTCGCCATGGTGAAATTAAAATCTCTATCATATCTATTCAATATCTACATCGATAATATATTTTGATATCATGCTAGGGACATAAAACTGACTCAAATTCTTAAAGAAACTCCCAACTGATCCGAGAATTGATTTAATGGAAAATCCCTGAAAAGCTCTTCTGAGTGTTCCGAAGTATGAAAAATACCATAATCATGCCATGCACGTGCTGGCTACATAAATAAGTTTTTCTTTAATTAGCAAAATAGGAATTTCGCCAACTTTTTCCGACTTGCTTTATGGACTACTGTATGAGGTTCGCGGTGCATTGCGGTCATTACATCGTATTTGCCCCTCTGCTCATCTGTCCCGCTCGCCGCTCGCTCTGCTGCTTCATTGTCGATTGCTTTCATTTCTTTTCATTTATTCAGTTTTGGTGAAAAATTAGAGGCAGCAGTTAACTACTTCTTGAGATATATCGTCTTTATAGGGATGCCAGCGGTCCCCCGAGTGGATCGCATCAAAACTATATATAGTGCCGCGAAATCTCTCAATTTTGGATGGAGGTTCACTGATTTTCTCAAAACGCCAGCATACAATGGTGTTTCCAGATATGTTCCTCAGCTCCACAGGTTTGTTCCTTTTTCTCCCTACATTTCTCTTTTTCTTGTTTTACGTTTATTCAAAGTTCTCATATGTTATTCCTACTTCCATTATTTGTTTTTTACAGCTTTCCCTTTTCGCCTTCATCATGTAATATTCCTATCCGAACGAAACATTATTATCATGCTGATCCTCGGCAAATGACCTTTTTGTTTTGGCTTTTATAATCTTACCAAGCTGATTCAAAAGAAAACCTTATAAGTCAATTCACTGTCATTGTGAATTAGCAAATCATGCATAGTTTGTCCATAGTTCAAGTTGGATCTCGGAAACCTTCGTAGAGTCGAGTTCCACCGCTTTAATGCGAATGAAACTCCAAAAATTTTTGCTGATTCGAGAAAGTCAGCGCTTTTTCTATATAAAGAGCGTTCGCATATCTGTTACTAGTTAATGATCCTGATTGACACTCCAAAATATTAGTAATGCACCAGAAGATTGCACTTGCAGTGTAGTTTCAGGAACCCTTTCTCTATGAGCTGCTTGTTATTGTAAAGCCTAACCTTTCCTAATTATTGATTCTGTGCGGCTGGGTTGTTGGTGTGACAGGCGCTGTCAAGCTCACGAAATTCGGGTATCATGAAAGAAGGGAAGAAGTAGTTCATGATAATAGCTTTATAAATTCAGAGATATAATTGCCATGCCACCCATTTCTCTTGGTTGTTTTTTTTTTGCTCAATGTTAATACTAGTCATTTATCAAGCCTTGAAAGGAGATCCTTTCCCAGTGTCTTTATCTAAAGAAAATCTGGAAAGATTTTAAGGCCTGCACTTAATGATTGTTGGTAGTAGATTTAATGGCCTATACAGAAAACTTTCTAAGAATCTTCCTTGATCAATTTATGCAAGGTAATTGTTTAAGTCATCTTATGAGCAGCATGGAAAACACTACTTCTAGTTTCAAAGCAACAATAAGTTATTCAGTCATTGGCACCTGAGCCGTCAGTAGCGGTGCATGATAAATTGTTTAAATCTGTTCATTCGTTTTGCTTTTCATAAATAGTGTTTTGCTATAGTGTATTGATTGGATATCAAGGCCAATCGCAGAAGCGAACTTATTTATATCTCTGTAGTTCTCAGATGTCAAGTGTCTAATATACTTTAGATTATAGTATGTTATTAGAAAGCCTACGAGATAATATCGCAACATTTATCAAACGTTTTGTAGGATAACTTTCCGATTTTGTAAGCAAAGCGAAGCAAGCGCAGGTGTACGGAACTTCATTGAACACAGACTTTTGGATTATGGTTGGTTTACTTTTCTTTTCTATGAATAGGCAGGAATTATGGTTTGAGAAAGTCATTGTTAGCATAAGTGTTGATTGCGTGTATGTTTATCGTTTAAATTATACATTTAAAACCAGTATTAAATTTAGGGATGAACGAAATCACTTTCTTCGTTTGTACTTATTTCAGCAGCACGGACACCATCTGTAGTTGTATATACGCAGCCTGTCCGCAACAATAGTCCTCAAATTCGAGCAGAATATGGGAATGGTCGAATTATACAACTGTGCGCGTCGGGTATGAGTATGGAAGATGTGGAACGGGATGTTAATTTGTTATATTCGCGAAGTGGACTTCCAGTTGTAAAGTTGGAATCTCTGCAGAGTGCCGCTACACCTTCTGTACAGGTATGGATTGGGCTTGAAATACTGTTTCTCTCATTTTTTTTGTTTTGCAGCATTTTTTGTAAAAACAATCTTCCGACAAATACCAAAGTCCTAAGATTCTTGTGAAGAATATCAATCTTCGCTTGCTGCTACTTATACAGGTGTAAGCAGAAGGAAATCAGCGCATGGGACTCGAAACTAGTTGTTCCCTCGACTGATCCGTCCAAATTTGTTTTCCTTCTCCGTAACTTTATCTCAAGTCGGCTAAAGGGTCTTTTGCTCCTTGCACTTTTACTGACCTCTATCAGCTTGATTCGTGGTTATCTTTTGGAACACGATAGATGGTTACTTCCTAGGAGTAT